AAGTGGTCAGTAAGCTCTGGAGTGTTGGTGTCGTGTAAAAGGTTTGCTGATCTTGGGTTTGATTGGAAGATCATTCTTGGCATGTTGTTTATTTCCAGCATTCTATTTAGTTCATCGGCATAGGACCCTGGGGCTATAATGTTATGGAGGTGAACATGTAGCATGCTCACCATTACCTTTCACTAAGGTTTACCACCATGTCAATGGTTGGCTTCGTTGCCTCCTTTACCACCCTCTTTGCTATTTATACATATGTATGTTGATCTTTGTTCTTTTCATTTTGCTCTTCTGCATCCTGTTTGTATTTTATGAGGGTCTTTTTAATTGGCAGGCCATGGCCAATTGGCCATGGTTGGGTGGGTGTGGTATATATCTCCGTTTCTTTTGCAGTTTACACAGCTTTCGTTGGTGTTATTTCACTGGATATAAACATGCCCTTCCTCTGCACAACTGGTCAGTACTTTGTAGAATGTTCTTCAAATTTGTAACTCGTGAAGCATGTCATGAGGCTTGTGAATTTTTCCCTCTATATTTGGTGTGGGGATATTGACATGCTGCATCCTGGGAAGACATTTTGGAGTACCCGGTCTGCCATGGCCGTTTCTTCAAAGCAGAACTTTAATACATGAGTATAATCTTTTATCTTAATTACGTCTTCAATCTTAAGTCCTTCATTTCTATTATCTATATCTGTCTTCAAGAATTCTGCTGTTTCCCCACCTACTTGAGAATCAAGTTTCCTTACAAAAACTGATCTCCTGGCTTTAAGCTCAGAGGGCATGACCACACTAGTCCATTCCTGGCAAAGATTTGTTTTGCTTTTACAGTAAGCAGTTTCTCTGCATCGTTTTCATCGCGACAAATGACTTTAAATCCCTCATTCTGGTTGAACACCCTATTGAAGGGCACACCCAACTCAACATATGCTAGGATAATCACACTTGATCTCTCAACGGGTTCATATTTGTCTTTTACCTTTACTCTTTGGTTAACTGCCATTTTTACATATAGAAGGTTATTGGAGATCCTTCTTTGTTTTACCAAAGACAACCCCCGCACAGTGGAGTGACTGCACGATCACAGCCGTCAATATGGGCTCGGCCTGCTGTTCCCCGACCCCCAATGACCACACACAATCCCACATAGCTGTGAGGTGTGCGCCATTGGAGGGGCTCCGGCACGAATGCCTAAAAAAAAAATTGCAGGTGCCTCAGCCAGGGTAAGAAATAAGAAATCTTAGGGTGGAAGAAAAGCTCTCCAATCACGTCAGGAAGGCTAAGAAACAGCTGCCCTCCAGCAGGAGTGTGGGTCCCTCACAATGCCGGTAGGGAGAACAGCTTTTGTTGGTAATCTTAAGCGTTCGTGAACTCTACTACGTCCACTCCTCATCCACTAACATGTAAAGATTTTTCTTTTCAATGTGAGAACGATTTCAACCCCACCAAGAAAAAAGAATATTTCTGCTTTTCCAAGATGATCCCAGGTGTGTACACTCCCCCCGCTACAATTTGAAATGCTAGACAAAATGCTTTGATATGATTCTCAGTGCATCATTGTTAGTTGGTACGCCTGCTCGCCGTATCAGCAACACCTAGAGATGAAGATGGGATTGGGGAAGGGTCCTACTTGTATGGCATACTAGATACTTCAGTATAACAAGAAATCCATTAAGCTATATTAATGTATGTGTTGTGATGGGTAGAAGCAAGACATTTGTAAGAAGCCACTGACTGGTGATTACAATATCACTGAAATATACATTAAATGAAAGTGTTTCGGAACGTCATAACTGAGACAGACCTCAAAACGGGCATCAACCATTACGTCGTTGTACTAACGGAGTTTCATTCATACTGAGTTTAACAATATGCCTACTAATGGTGCTCACGATATGTCTGATTTGTGAAGAGTGACTGACCAAATAGTTCTTGATATTAGAGTGAACAGCTACAGCAATATACAATATATCGGTCTACATGGGATCTGCCATATGTAAATTGCATTCGTTTTACACCGAAATAAGGTTTCAAATCAAGGGACTTGCAGGAAACAGAACCCCCCTCCCCCGCCCACCTATAGCAAGACACTTTGTGGTTGTAAGTTTCAGTGTGGCACCATTTGTTTCATGGTGCCTAACCCATCGTGATACTGTGGGTTCGCTCACTCCAGTGCTATCTCAGCATTACAAAAACTTTGTTGCGAAGGGCAGTGATTGCACTTCTCACATCTTGCGATGTCTCCCCGATAATTCCTCGCTCCATTCGATGTAAGATCCCGTTGATGATTGGCATAGCGTTGGTGTCCATTTACGACATCTACTCCGAGTCATGTAATATATGATTTGAAACCTTGGAGGATTCACATCGTTCGAATCATTCAAAAACGTATATATGCATACAAGCTCCAACTACCAACTGTACAGAAACAGGTCGAGTAACATTGCTCGGAAAGCACTCAAATCACATCGACCCCATGTCTAACGATACATCCCAGTCTTAGTTTTGAACGTCCCCAATTAATATGTGAATGTCCACACCAACCACGTGAACTTCCCACTTACCATGTGAATGTCCACACCAACCGCGTGAACGTCCACACCAACCATGTAAACGTCCACATCAACCATGTGAACGTCCACACCAACCATGTAAACGTCCACACCAACCATGTGAACGTCCCACCAACCATGTGAACGTCCCCACCAGCCATGTGAACCCCACCAACTATGTGAACGTCCCACCAACCATGCGAACGTCCACTCCACCCATGTGAATGTTCCTACCAACTATGTGAATGCCCCACCAATCATGTGAACGTCAAAGTAGTTGAAGGACTCCCTGTTCGTCAAGACACAACTGGGTGAGTGAATGCTGGGCTAATCAATACCTGTTGACAGTGATAATATTTGATTAATTAACCATAATGCAAACACTGGCAGGTCGATGGTGCCATAGTCCATTAAGGATCCATTACTTCTAAGTTGAGGGAAACTTTGACATATCACTAACAGAGAAACACTAATAGAAAGGGCTTACGAGACACTGTGTGAGGACTAGCTCAACCTATTGGCTTTCGTAATTACTGTATACCTGCGACTGGTTTACTACGTGTAGCCATGTGTGTGTGTTTTGTTTGAGTGAGTTGAGTTATGTAAGGTCGGTATATATACTCGTAACAGCTGACACACTAATCTGGTAGCTTCCTCCTCCACAAGTATGGTGAAGCTGTACTGTAAGATATGTTGAGAACTTTAAGTAATGGATGTATCAGCGTTTAAGAGGTGGCGTCAATTACTACAAGGGATATGATCTAGGAAACTTATACGTACAAACGTCATATGTGTGATTGAAATTAATGCTGTAATTTATGATGTTTAGTCGAATACATTGTAAGTGAACTGGTCAAATATCATCAATAAAAGGTACTATAGTTATTTCATTATAAACATTGCGTGTTAAGAAACTGAAGTGTCGGATGGGTTTCGTTAGTAGACATTCTTCATGTGGATATTTTTAGCACTACGTTACTCTACACTGCCAGTAACTAAGCGTGGCCTTTACCGTAGTAAGTACCTCGCCGTTAGCACAGCCTCAGGCACCAACCTTCAAGTTCAACGAAAATGTTTGCCTTCGGGGTGACGGTGGGAACAAACGCCTTGTAAAACACTGTTGCATCATCGTCCCCCACTTTCCACTTCCCGTGCTATCTATATTACCGCAATTGTGAGAAAAAATTACACGGCGGAACAGCTTTGGTGTTTGGAGTAAGCTAAATCTCCTGTTATTGTCAGACGAGAAGTAATAAAGAGTATCAAAAGTTCTCTGTGTGAGAGAGAAAGTGTAGAGGGTGGGAGGGGAACGAAGAGCGAGGGAGACGACCTGCAACTCGCCTTTCACTTGGAGGGAAGGTAGTGAAGGTGGTGAGCATTAGGAGATGGTCATTATCACTGCATCTTACCTATTTGCCATTTTTGTCAATTACTAGGGTGTGTACTATGCACACACACACACGCGCGCACACACACACACACACACACACACACACACACACACACACACACACACACACTTACTACCTACGGATGTTATGTACTAATACCTGTTATATATGTCACTTTTTTGCGAAATCGGTTATTTTGCAAAATTACCGGCATGCATATTGGTAATTTTGCAAAATAACTTACAAACAGACAACCTAAACTAACTTAACCTTATGGTTAGGTTAAGTGAGAGTTTAGGTTAGGTTAGGTTAGGTTAGGTTAGGTTAGGATAGCTCGTGTAGATTGATACGCAGTTAAGTGGTCCTGTTTTCTTTTCTTTTTTAATTTTGGTTAGCCTGTTTGTAAGTTATTTTACAAAATTACCAATGTGCATCCCGGTAATTTTGCACAATAACCGATTTCGCAAAAAAACGTAACACACACATCTGGTGCATATATGTAGTGCAGATATCTACTTTCTACAGCCCTGTAAAATATGCACCGGAGATGTATTCACCTCCTGTGTATGTAATTATGGTTTAAACATCTGCGGTAAACACGTGGCGTGTAAACACTGGAGGCATAAACATCCACTATGTACTATCTTGATAATGCATACACCTTACGTGTATGCACTCCAAGAGCAGGGTAGTGCATACACCTGTCGTGTACGCCCTATGTACCTGTGAACTGTGTACACACACATGCAAGATTGGCTCTATCTATAAGAGCCACCCAAGACACCTGGTGACACACTACTCTCGCGAGACATGTTGGTAATATTCTACTGCCTAGGTGTACCGAGGCCGGAACCCATTATGTAGCAGGTGTAAGTACAGCATTTGTACAAACTGTACCAGCAGAGCCCAGAATGCACCAGCAACCCCCCTCAAATTGCCAGGGTAAGAAGCAGTGCTGCGTAAACCTAAAATGATCTGCCCACACTCCCCACACCTGTAGCCACAACCGAAGCCGTAAGATATCGAGTTGCGGAAGTTTGGGGACAGTGGCAGTTACTTACTAGCCACAGAATCCTGCAATTGAACTTGCGGAAGGACGAACTCTTGGGCCTCTGGGTGGTGGAGCTCGATGAAGAAGATGTAGACCATCACGCCCAGAATCGCACCGATGTGAGGCGCCACTACCGGCACCCACCACCAGGCGAGCCCCTCGATGGTCACCGCTCTGTGGAAGACGTGGGTGACAGTTACTAATGTGTGGAAGACGTGGGTGAGAGTTACTTATGTGTGGAAGACGTGGGTGACAGTTACTAATGTGTGGAAGACGTGGGTGAGAGTTACTTATGTGTCGAAGACGTGGGTGAGAGTTACTGAAAGAGTGAAAGACGTGGGTGAGAGTTACTGAATGTGTGGGGGACGTCGGTGAGAGTTACTGATGTGATGGAGACGTGGGTGAGAGTTACTGAATGTGTGGAGATGTGGGTGAGAGTTACTGATGTGTGAAAGACGTGGGTGAGAGTTACTAATGTGTGGAAGACTTGGGTGAGAGTTATTGAATGTGTGGGGGACGTGAGTGAGAGTTACTGAATGTGTGGTGGACGTGGGTGAGAGTTACTGATGTGAGGGAGATATGGGTGAGAGTTACTGATGTGTGGAAGAGGTGGGTTAGGTGTTACTGATGTGTGGAAGACGTGGGTGAGAGTTACTGAATGTGTGGGAGATGTGGGTGAGAGTTACTGAATGTGTGGAAGAGGTGGGTGAGAGTTACTGATGCGTGGAAGAGGTGGGTGAGAGTTACTGAATGTGTGGGGGACGTGGGTGAGAATTAATGATGTGTGGAAGACGTGGGTGAGTGTTACTAATGTGTAGAAGACGTGGGTAAGAGTTACTGATGTGTGGAAGAGGTGGGTTAGGTGTTACTGGTGTGTGGAAGACGTGGGTGAGAGTTACTGAATGTGTGGGAGATGTGGGTGAGAGTTACTGAATGTGTGGAAGAGGTGGGTGAGAGTTACTGATGTGTGGAACACGTGGGTGAGAGATTACTGAATGTGTGGGGACGTGGGTGAGAATTAATGTGTGGAAGACGTGGGTGAGTGTTACTAATGTGTGGAAGACGTGGGTGAGAGTTACTGTGTGGAAGACGGGTGAGAGTTACTGAATGCGTGGGGGACCTGGGTGAGAGCAATAAATGTGTGGGGACGTCGGTGAGCGTTACTGATGGAAACGTGGGTGAGATTTACTGAATGTGTGGGAGATGTGGGTGAGAATTACTGATGTGTGGAATACGTGGGTGAGAGTGACTGATGTGTGTAAGACGTGGGTGAGAGTTACTGATGTGTGGAATACGTGGGTGAGAGTTACTGATGTGTGGAATACGTGGGTGGAGTGTAAGACGTGGATGTGGAAGACGAGAGAGTTACTGAATGTGAGGGGACGTGGTGAGAGTTACTCATGTGTGGAAAACGTGGGTGAGAGATACTGATGTGTGGAAGACGTGGGTGAGAGTAACTGGTGTGTGGAAGACGAGGGTGAGAGTTACTGATATGTGGAGGACGTGGATGAGAGTTACTGATGTGTGGAAGACGTGGGTGAGAGTTACTGAAAGAGTGGGAGATGTAGGTGAGAGTTATTGAATGTGTGGAAGACGTGGATGAGAGTTACTGAATGTGTGCGTGATTGGGTGAGAGTTAATGATGAGGGAGACGTGGGTGAGAGTTACTGATGTGTGGAAGACGTGGGTGAGAGTTACTTATGTGTGGAAGACGTGGGTGAGTTACTGATGAGGGAGACGTGGGTGAGAGTTACTGAATGTGTGGGAGATGTGGGTGAGAGTTACTGATATGTGGAAGACGTGGGTGAGAGTTACTGAATGTGTGGGCGACGGGAGAAAGTTACTGTGAGGGAAGACGTGGGTGAGAGTTACTGAAAGTGTGGGGGGTGAGATTTACTGATGTGTGGAAGACGTGCGTGAGAGTTACTGATGTGTGAAGACGTGGGTGAGAGTTACTGATGTGTGGAAGACGTGGGTGAGAGTTACTGAATGTGTGGGAGATGTGGGTGAGAGTTACTGATATGGAAGACGTGGGTTACTGATATGTGGAAGACGTGGGTGAGAGTTACTGAATGTGTGGGATGTGGGTGAGAGTTACTGATATGTGGAAGACGTGGGTGAGAGTTACTGATGTGGAAGACGTGGGTGAGAGTTACTGATATATGGAAGACGTGGGTGAGAGTTACTGAATGTGTGGGAGATTTGGGTGAGAGTTACTGATTTGTGGAAGACGTGGGTGAGAGTTACTGAATGTGTGGGCGACGTGGGAGAAAGTTACTGTTGTGAGGGAGACGTGGGTGAGAATTCTGATGTATGGAAGACGTGGGTGAGAGTTACTGAATGTGTGGGGAAGTGGGTGAGATTTACTGATGTGTGGAAGACGTGCGTGAGAGTTACTCATGTGTGGACGACGTGGGTGAGAGTTACTGATGTAGAAGACGTGGGTGAGAGTTACTGATATTTGGAAGACGTGGGGTGAGAGTTACTGATGTGTGGAAGACGTGGGTGAGAGTTACTGAATGACTGGAAGATGTAGGTGTGAGTTATTGAATGTGTGAAAGACGTGGGTGAGAGTTACTGAATGTGTGGGTGATGTGGGTGAGAGTTACTGATGTGGGAGACGTGGGTGAGAGAGTAACTGATGTGTGGAAGACGTGGGTGAGGTTACTAAATGTGTGAGGACGTGGGTGAGAGTTACTAAATGTGTGAGGGACGTGGGTGAGAGTTACTGATGTGTGGGGGGACGAAGGTGAGAGTTACTGGTGTGTGGAAGACGTGGGTGAGGGTTACTGCTCTGTGGAAGACGTGGGTGAGAGTTACTAAATGTGTGAGGGACGTGGGTGAGAGTTACTGATGTGTGGAAGGCGTGGGTGAGAGTTACTGAATGTGTGGGAGATGTAGGTGAGAGTTACTGAATGTGTGGAAGATGTGGGTGAGAGCTACTGATGTGAGGGAGACGTGGGTGAGAGTTACTGATGCTTGGAAAACGTGGGTGAGAGTTATTGAATGTGTGGGGGACGTGGGTGAGAGTTACTAAATGTGTGGGGGACGTGGGAGAGAGTTATTGAATGTGTTTGGGACGTGGGTGAGAGTTACTGAATGTGTGGGGTCGTGGGTGAGAGTTATTGATGTGAGGGAGACGTGGGTGAGAGTTACTGAATGTTTGGGAGATATGGCTGAGAGTTACTAAATGTGTGGGAGATGTGGGTGAGAGTTACTGATGTGAGGGAGACGTGGGTGAGAGTTACTGATGTGTGGAAGACGTGGGTGAGCTTTACTGATGTGTGGAAAACGTGGGTGAGAGTTACTGAATGTGTGGGAGATGTAGGTGAGAGTTACTGATGTGAGGGAGACGTGGGTGAGAGTTACTGATATGTGGAAGACGTGGGTGAGAGTTACTAATGTAAGACGTGGGAGAGAGTTACGTGACGGTGAGAGTTACTGATGTGTGGAAGACGTGGGTGAGAGTTACTGATAAGTGGAAGACGTGGATGAGAGTTACTGATGTGTGGAGACGTGGGTGAGAGTTACTGAATGAGTGGGTGATGTAGGTGAGAGTTATTGAATGTGTGGAAGACGTGGGTGAGAGTTATTGGTGTGCGGAAGACGTGGGTGAGAGTTACTGAATGTGTGGAGTGGGTGAGAGTTACTGATGGTGGATGACGTGGGTGAGATTTACTGATGTGAGGGAGATGTGGGTGAGAGTTACTGATGTGGGAGAGGTGAGATGTGGAAGACGTGGGTGAGAGTTACTGATGTGTGTGGAAGACGTGGGTGAGAGTTACTGAATGTGTGAAAGACGTGGGTGAGAGATGTGGGTGAGAGTTACTGAATGTGTGGAAGACATGGGTGAGAGTTACTGATGTGACGTGCGTGAGAATTCTTGATGTGTGTAAGACGTGGGTGAGAGTTACTGAATGTGTGCGAGATGTGGGTGAGAGTTACTGATGTGTGGAAGACGTGGGTGAGAGTTATTGATGTGTGGAACACGTGGGTGAGAGTTACTGAATGTGTGGGAGATGTGGGTGATAGTTACCGATGTGTGGAAAACGTGGGTGAGAGTTACTGGTGTGTTAATAGTTGGGATAAAGAAGTATGGGTATCTTGGGTGTGGACCCATTGAAGCAGAGTAAACAAACGTAACACACACACACACACACACACACACACACACACACACACACACACAAACACACACACAAACACACACATGCACACACACACACACACACACACACACACACACACACACACACACACACACACACAACACACACCTCAGCCTTCATAGGGTAAGGACGTGTGTATTCGGCGCTGCCCGCTCACGCGGCCGTGGTCTCTTGATCATGGAGACAGCTGCCAGCCCGGTGTGTCGGGCCCTCCGCTCCCCATCTCCTCCTTCCCATCTGGATTTATCAACATCCTCACACCAACAGTACAGTGCAACGATTGACCATCAACCCACAAGTGATATACAAAAGTGGCAATTTCAACTCGAAGGAAAAGCACAAAAACACAGCAATACTGATTGTGGCTGGATCTGACCTGATCTCAGGCTTCACCTGACCTAACCTGAAGGATGGAGCACACCTGCATTGCCCCAAGCTACTGTCCTGGCCACTTGGCCACACACCTGCCCAACCGCATCCAGCCCATACGAGCACGAACTGACTGCTACAAGAACAGCGCAGTCTCAACCTTTGTAAAAATCATCAACACCTAATTATTATATATCATATTTGTATCACTTATGTTACTTGTACATCATTTGTAAATCAAGAGAACCATTCCCCAATTATGTAATTGTATATTTTCAGCCTTCTGGCTGCCATGCTCTTTCAATAAACCGTTAATTATTATTATTATTATTACACATGCACACACACACACCCACACACACACCCACACACACACACACACACACACACCCACACACCCACACACTTCTACTACTGTACTTTGCTGTCACTAGGAATCTAGTATGACGATGATACAGCTATGATAGTGATAATTTTGACTTATTAAGGATGTCACTTAGGTTGCTGACTTTTAAGGTGACTAAAGAGGCCGATACGGGACCGGCAGAGTTGTTCAGAGATGTTGCATATGTGGGTGGCTCCATCTAGTGCGGAAAGGGCGGCGGCAGCGTCTTTCCAGAGCTGGCGCTTGTCTGC